TTAGCTTGACTTTTGCTTTTGTCGGGCACTTCAGCAAGTGGAGAGGAACTTCAGAGGACATCATATCCATTTCCGAAGGCGGTAGTGGTACGAGAGTGTCCGTGTTCGTTTGACGTCTAGATTCCCAAACATTTTGAGGATTTTCACATTCGCGGATGACGTGTGATGTAACTACGTGGCCTTGCTTGGATTGAAGGTTTTCGTCGGAAAATATTATCGTTTTCCGTGATCACATTTCCCTATCACCTTTTTCCCTCACATATATCAAATCGCTACAGTAATTTTTCCATGAAAAATGACGGAAAATGCAATCCAAACACAAAGATTTTCACATTTTAGGATTTTTCATAGCTCTTAAGTACTGCTCCATGTAATTACATAGTTGCGTGTTTCATTGTTATTTAATCAAAGGGTTTGGCAAATGAGTGGAGAGGGTTTCATGTGTTAATTTTTTGGCAAAAAATGAATTAATTTGAGAGAGTGTTTAAATGTAGAGATATAATAAATGTAACGCTGTAGTTTCATTTATTGTTGCATGACCCTCTAACGTCTCAAAATGTCCACTTTATCCCTTATAATTTTATGTAAAATGGGATCTTGACGGAAAATAATCTATGCAACGTCGTCAATTGAAATACTAATAGTGTCTTTACTTAAATGATAAATCAATCAATAGGTTAATTCCCTTCCCTTGCATGAAAGTATACGGGGATTACGTGGATAACTAAAAAAAATTACGAGAAGGTAAAGTAGATATTTATATAAATTATAAGAGAGTTACATAAATATCAAGATTTTATTGCACGTGCTTTTAGAGTGCATTTGATATAAATGCTATAACTGATTGTGCATTCCGTTCTTTTTTTTACTTTACATAAAATCATAAGAGAGTTATGTGGCTATTTTGAAAATTTAGGGGATTCATTTGGCATTACATAAAATTAGAGGGGTTAGAAGCAATTTACCCTTAGGATAACGGTTGATTCCAATAAACCTCTCAAAAAATCTCTCTCACATCACACCCCTGAATGTTTAATTCAATCAATCGACTCTTGTATAAAATAATTTTTTTTTGTCTTTCATTTTAAAACGTTAACTTTACGTCCTTACAAATTCAATTTAGCAAATTGTAGTCTTAACTTAGGTTTTCGACCACTTTTTAGTTTAAAATTACCATGTGACTCACATGTAATTATTTTTTATGTACAAAAAGGTCATATCTCATTTTCTAATGACAAAATGAATATGGATTGGATCCCACTTGCGTGGGTGAAAGAACGGATATGATTCAAATTAGATTTTACTTTTTTAGGAACAAAAATGAATATAAATCAAATTATTTATTTTATTACAAATGGTATCTAAACCTTTTTGCTCCTAAGAAAATAACTATGTGTGAGTCACATGATAGATGTAAGGTAAAACATGATCAAAAACTTATATTGGGATCAAATTTTACTAATTTGATTTTATAAGAGACGTAAATTTACTATTTTAAAAATGAATGACGAAAAAATTCATTTGATAAAATGTAAGAAACATTTTTAATGATTTTCCCAAAAAGAAAAAGGTATTAACATCTTAAAGGCCATTATGCGTAAATACCTCCAAGAACCATTAGGCATTCGAAAGCATAGAATTGGCATTATTATTTTAAGATTTATGGCCTGTGAAAAAAGAAATATGAAAATTGGATAAATTATTGTACTAATTAGTCCGGCTATGTTTACTGTTGAATGGAACCTTCACATGGAGACATAACGAGGTTGCGAATGAGGGATCGCTATCCACTCCTGTACCTAATACTCCATAAACCATATGGTTTGATTCTTGAGATGTCAATCAATCCTACTGCGTTGAGGGAATTCAATGAGTGAAGGGTCCGAAATGACGAGGAGTATAACAGACGGACTACGGCTTCGATAATTTGCCTCCAAGACTTTCGATGCCCAGGTGTTGGAACGATCTTATTAGGGCCTATGCAACGTCCAAGGGAGGTTTGCAAAGAGAGGCCCTACGGGTTTTCCTGTCAATGCGGCGTTCTGGAGCTTTGCCCAATGAATACACCTTCCCGTTCCTATTCAAGGCGTGTGCTTCCGTCTTAGGCCTCTATGATGGGAGGCAGATCCACGCTGATGTCAAGAAGCGTGGTTTGGATGCAAATGTGTACGTCCAGAATACTTTGATTCACTTTTATGGGAGCTGTAGGAAAATTGTTGATGCGCACAAGGTGTTTGATGAAATGTCCTACAGGACTGTAGTATCTTGGAATTCAATTCTTTCTGCTTTCGTTGAAAATTCATGGTTCAGAGAGGCAATTGAGGTTTTTTTAAGCATGAGGAGTTCTGAGTTGGAGCCGGATGAGACTACCATGGTGATTCTCCTCTCAACTTGTGCAGAGATGGGCAACTTGAGTTTGGGAAAATGGATACATTCTCAAGTTATTGTTACAGCTATGGTTGTTAATTGTCAGTTGGGCACAGCTCTCGTTGACATGTATGGAAAATGCGGCATTGTGGATTATGCAAGACTTGTTTTCAATGGGATGAGCGACCGAAATGTCTGGACTTGGAGTGCCATGATTATGGGATCAGCTCAGCATGGTTTTGCTTTTCAAGCCCTTCAGTTCTTCAAGGCTATGAAGAACAACAGTTTGATTGAACCTAATTATGTAACCTATCTGGGGGTCCTTTGCGCTTGTAGCCATGCTGGACTGGTGGATTATGGGCGTCGCTTCTTTTACGAAATGGAACACATTCATGGGATCAAACCCATGATGGTACATTGTGCAGTCATGGTAGACATCTTAGGCCGCGCTGGACATCTTGAGGAAGCTTATAATTTCATTTTAAGTATGCCGACTATGGCTGATGCAACTATATGGAGGACGTTGCTTAGCGCCTGCAACATTCATGACATTAATGATCGTACTGGGCTGGCAGAAAAGGTTAGACAAAAGTTGCTTGAATTAGAACCAAGGAGGAGTGGCAATCTTGTAATGGTAGCGAACAAGTACGCTGAAGTTGGCATGTGGGAGAAAGCAGAAAGCCTACGAAGAAGTATGAGGAACGTAGGACTAAAGAAGACGGCTGGGGAGAGTTGTATAGAGATCGGTGGTTCTATCTTTAGATTCTTTTCTGGGAATGATTTTTATGTTGCTAATAGGGAAATCTTGTTGTTAATAGACCGACTGAATTTGCATACGAGAATGATGGTTAACTGTCACAAATGACTCTTAGGAGAGAAAAAAAAAAAAAAAAACCACCAGTGAAGCTCACAATGATGACCCTTTTTGTAGCTAAATCTTGCACTGGTCCTCGCATCAAATACAGTCGAGTAACATGGATCCCGATTGCTAGAGAGCAAGATTATGGTCATTGTAAGCCGCTGCGTACTCCTTAACGTTTACCATGAACCAAGCTTCTGATTTAAGGTAAAAAGAACTGAAACATTTTTTTGAGGGGCTACCAAGTGACATCTAGGTTTAGTTTAGAATAAAAATAATAATTTCTTGAAAAGTAAAATTCTTACATATGGGGAGAAATTTTCATTAATTTTAAGAAGGAGATGCATATAGAAGTGTGAAATTTTGTAAATTTCTCAAGTGCCAATTCGGATTAAAAAATTTTTGAATGGAGGGGCAATAGTGTACTTTTATAAAATTCATGGGGGTGTAAATATGGTGAAAATTAGAAAATTTTAAACCTTTTACACAATTTTCTAAAACTTGAGGAGGGCCAATTGCCTAATCTCAAGTATATGTGGTTCCACTTCCACCGCGACACCATTGCTGATCTGCAAGAATCCACAACCCCATTTGGCAAGTGAGTTTTTTGGGTGTTTGTCTAAAACTTTACTGTAACTTATTGTAGAAGTTTTTTAAAATTTTTTTGAAATGTGTAAATTTTTGAATATTTTGAAGTGTATAGTTTAAAAACTTTGAAAAGTTTTTTGACATTAGTTAAAATTTTTTAAAAACTTGGCAAAAACTTGCCTGGCAAACAAGGCGGTTTCCATCTTCTCCTCCTCCATGTCACTTGTTTAGCTAAGTTTGGTTTTGTACGAAACAAAGCAAGAAAAAGGAAACCAAAACCCGAGGCCCAGGAAGGCGGAAGAGACTTTTGTTGAGTGACCTTTCTAACTGATCCCTTGCACAAAATTACGGCAGTGAGGCCTTTAGATGGATTGACCATACAATCGTATGACTGAAAAAATTACATCGAAGTAACAATGGGAGATCCCCCAACGATGCGGTTCGCTGGTAATTATATGCGGTATGTCACCAATTTGAAACCCGCCGTCGTATCGCGTTTGCATTCTTGAGCCCTTACAGATTATTTGAAGGCCAAATGAGAGAGTTAAAAATCATCTAATTAATATTCATACCACCTAAATTGCTCATTAAGGCCCTTAACAGAGTATTTGTCCCTACCACCTAAATTGGTCATTAGGGCCCTTACAGATTATTTGCCCTTCCTAATCGTGATAGAAACCCAAACAACAAAACAGCAAAAAATACTTGAAGTGTCTATAACAGAAAGTACGACACAATACGTGCAGCCTAAGTATCACAAGACGGTCTAAAGGATCTACGGCCTCGCAGGTTGCATTTTGTACAATTATACGCGAGTTTGTCCCCGGTGTGAATCAGAAGAATTTCGGTATAAATCATCCTAGGTACCCAAAAGTTAGAGATTAGTGTTAATAAATTCGATTTGAATTTGGGAATAAATTAGGTACAGTTGATTTGTCATGATCTAAAGTTCTGGGTTCTAATCTCCCTTTCTCTCTCAGCCTCATAAATCCCGATTTTTTTTTTTTTAAAAAGTAGAATTTGGTGTACCTTGGGGATAAATTATTTTTTTTTCCTTCGAACTTGGGGGTATATTACTAATTTACCTCCAAATGGCACCAAATTGAACCTGCGAGCCCGCCCCAGTCCAAAAGCGGCCCGAGTCAGTATAGAATATTCATCAACATATTAATTAAGGTTGCTAGCGAGGCAGCGATGGTTACAAGACTCTACTAACTACGAATCGAGGATAGGTGCGGCTATAGACGTTTGGTGTAATTATCCAGTTGCTGCACTTCTCATGCATATAATATGGCATGCATGCTCTTAACTATATATACATCCAATGTCATTTTGAGATGTAAAAAGCTGCTCAACTGCAGGAATTCATTCGGCAAAGCTCAACCCTCTTGCCACTGCAATCTTCCGTCACATTATAGAACAACCATGAGCATTTTCATCGCTAAACATGTCCCTGGTCCTATCATCGATCACAGTCGAGAGTGGTGGTTTGTGATAGTAACCATGATCATGGCCATTGTATCCATGCACCTCATAATTGTATGAAGAGAAAGAATACTTGTCATGTTTGGTGAAAACGGTAGCCTCAGAGGCGAAATAATTCTCCGGATTAACGCTGAAGTTGGTTGCCGGATTTCTGTAGTAGTGACTGTAGTATGCATAGTTGAAATCATGATATTCAGGGTTGTATGGAAATGGCCATAGCTCAGCTAGTCTTCCGGTTTTTCTCACGGTTTTGAGAACCTTTTCTTGGTCTGCATAGCCAGTGACTGTCACCTTTTGCATGCCCATGTCCACATCAACGTTATCAACCCCTGATTATACAAATTCAAGTGAGTTTTTCTGAACGCTCATGGCTCCAAGTTCATGAATTTTCCGTTCTTTTCTTTTACTATGCTCTTTCACTATTGATTACTTTTGTATCCAAAAAAATTCACCCTGTGATATTGGAAGAGGAGTTTGTCTGTCATGGCGTTGTACTATTACTATTATTATGATGTTGAAAACTCGAAGTTAAGACAATAGGGTGCTTACTGTGGCCTATTAGCTACAAAATAATGAATATGCGCAAGCCACATTTTTGTTGAACTTCTGTCCTTAACATAAAAGCCAGAACATCTAGGTGATGATCCGCGAACAAGATAATTTGTTTGCTTTTGAGTTGTATATAAACAATTTATGTTGGATTGCCAAAAACAGGAGCTAAGTTATTTTGTTTGAACAGTTCAAAATGCTATTTCAAAGCAAGGCTGCCTAGAGAACAAGAGTCAAATGTAAGCAAAAAATTGTTTAGGAATATGTAAGGTAGCTTGACTTCCGTACTAAATCTTTGCTCGAAGGATCAAAAGCAATTAGCCAGTTAAATAATAAAGGATCAAAAGCAATTAGCCAGTTAAATAATCTGTTCTAAACAAGTAACAAGCACATCAAAATCCAGTAAAAAAAGAATGATTGTACAGAACAAAAAAAAAAAAAAAAATCAGAGAAATGTTTATATTGTTTAAGGGGGTTTTGATACCATCAAGTTTCCGTAGAGCTTTCTTGATCTTGCTTTCACATCCAGGACAGTCCATGTGCACTCTCATCTCCACAATCTAAACCAAAATCCAAAAAAACTTCATATATATTCACTTCATATATATTCATATTTGCTCGAAGGATCAAGTGGATTTGTAAAAGCGCATGCATAGCCATCATCATGCACGAAAGTTGTTCATTTTACAATCTCACACATGAAATTTCACTAGATTTCTATTCTATTATTACTAAACGAGGTCATTCATCAGTTGAAGTCTCTTATTTCAAATAGAGATCATTCACAGTTTTAACCAGCCCTGAGTTTTTTTTTTTTTTAAATGGTAAGTGTCGATGCCACGATTATGGGTTACATTACATATAATCTTATCAAAGAAAAGACTTTTAGTGGTGTCACGGACAAGCTTAATTCCATCATTTCACTCAATAAACATACGCATGAATAATGCAACACACAAAAAACAAACATGCATGTTAAGAAACACTAGTCTAAAATTTGAAACCATCCGATCCTGCGTCGACTTAACAGGTGAATGGATAAATACACAAGCTCTTGCATAGACACATGTTTTAGTATGATAAAATGCAAAACAGAAATTGGAGTTAATTAGAGGAAAATCTGACCGTCATCTTGAGGCTTGAGGATTACTCAATCTTGAGGAGAGATATGTGAAGCTTTCTTTGCTGAAATATTGCAAGGGATGAATTCTATGATGAAAAGGGCAATGCGGAAGCAGATCCTATTTATACTAGCTTTAGAGAAGCATATATGTATTAATTAAAATGCAAGTTGTAACAAGGGATAGAGAGAAGTATAAGATAGAATAATATTCAATGGTCCGACCCATTATTTCTTACACTTTTCCTTTGGCTTGCTTCTTAGAGACAATTCTTGTGGAGGGACCTGTGAGAAAGCTCACTGAAATTCTCTCAAATAAGTCCACTCTGTTGCTATCTTTACAGTTACAGTATCCTCTAAATGGTCCATCGAAACAATACAATGCAGAAATTCTATTCTGTAGCTAGAGACGAAGAAGATAATTGATCAATTAATGTGTCACCAACGTATGTCTTTGATCTACCATTTTACCTCTAAACTATGGCTTTAAGTACAGAAAATTAAGTCGAAAGAATTTCTTATAAGCTGGTTATCAACCCTAATTTAACCGTTAAATAATTACATGGAAACACAAAATGATTAGTACAAATTCTACATCATTTCTAAAATTAGTTTGCCTTTCCTGATTGGCTGAACCCACAAGATGGTTTTACCCATGCATGCCAATGACAACGTTTTATATTGGCAGCAACTAGCCTGACAATTGACAGTGTCAAAACGTTGAAAACAGGTTATTTTCTAGGTAATTAACATGATAGCGATCCTCCTAATTTTTAAATCAGAGCATCCAATAAAATTCATATTTGTGGTTGTGAATTATTCAAATTTTTGTGCTGTCATTTGACCACCTTTTTCTAACAATGTCATCAAATTACGTAGAAACTTCAAACTTGTATGATGAGAAAAAAAAATATGTATAAAAATATTACTTAAAATGTAATTTTTCTCCTGCGTCATCTCAGACCTAGGCTTCTTTTAAGACTTCAAAAGTCGTCGAAAATGCATTGTAAATTACTGGATGGTGACTTGCCTAAGCAGTTTCCCTTTCGGCGTTACAAGTTGAATTTTCTCATGGGATTTGTTCTGAAAGTCGTCAAAGGTAGAAAAGCAGAGTGTGAAAGAGATAGTTTGGAAAATACCTTAAATGGCAAAAAAGGATTCAAAAAGCAAAGAAACTTTTATTGCATATCTTGTGAATATCTGAAAAAAAAAAAAAATCTTCAACTTGATTTATAAGAGGACTATATCAATTATGCGATTGGCCAAGAGGGAATGTTTCTGATCTTCCTTGAGTTAATTTCTTTAATTTATGGCATCATCGTTTTGTGACCAGGTGACCTGTGAATTGAGCCTTGGAACTTTTCTACAGGTCCAAAGTATCTTCTAAGACATTGCCTCTTTATCCCAAAAAGAGGCCATGGTTATTTATTTATTTTTAATTATAGTTTTCGGAACTTATTGGTTACTTAAGATAATTGAAGACTTCTTGTTTCTATAGAGTAATTTATGATCAAAATTTTAAATGACTTTCTCTATTATGTGTCGTAAGGGTACACTAAAACAAGGGGTGGACTCCCTAAGGATTTTAGCATTATTATCTATTATCCATCCCCTAAATTGCTAATATTCTAATGGTTAAATATTTTGTCTTTCGCGGACAAAATAACACCCTGCTTCCAGACATGAAAGGAAAAATGATTTTAAATGTTCATGCAATATCCAGACATTTTTTTTTTTTCAGTAACTACTTGTATAAATTTTTTTTATATGAAAATATTTAGATAGGTTGGACTTCGATTACCATCACACGTCAAGATATACTTTCAAGAATATTAGGTCACTTAAATGGATCTTATAAATCACTCATCCGATGTGTGGGATCTGTTATTGGACAATCTATAAAAAAAACCCTTTAAACAACTTTTGATTTTGCAAGTATATTTTGACCTGTAATGATGACCAGAGTGAAATCGATCCTATCTTTATCTCTTAGTAAAAAAATTTGAGCTTGAGAACTATCATGCAGTGTTGCTAAACAGTACAAGTGAATGTGACAGCCCATGTCTCAGGAATAGTAGTAGGAGCCCTTTTAGATGCTCGCCAAACAGAACACATCTCCGCCTAGATTCCATCTTCAATGGAGAGCCCAATGCACAAGCTAGAGTTGTATGGTAAGTCCAGCACTGCATTAAAATTTAAATTCCTACAAAACTCAGATTTCTATATTTTTTTTTTTTGGGATAATACACTCCTTAAACCTTTAAGCACCAAGCAACAAAGCATCCATGGAAAATTACTCTGGATGCATCTTCATTCTTCTCTACCACTTTGCCTCCTTTAGATGCAAATCGCTGTGCAGATGGACTTGCAAAGATAAATTGAGATCTTTGGTAATCGTTTTTACTATTTTATGACAATTGTATAGTATAATTTGTTGCCGAAAACTAAAAATCATTTAGCAACTCTTGTTGTAGTATGATTAATTGTGATATTCTATTTTACTACCAAAAGAAACAAATTGTGTTTCACTCCCTTCACCTCATCAAAATGATGCCATGTGCTTTTCAATGACAATGCTTTGGTTTACATGAGGTATGACATAATTTTAATTCGTAATGATTGATTAGTAATGTTATAAGTGATGTACGCAGTAGAAAATGCTTAACCTAAATAATATTGCCTATTAAAATGACTTTGAAAGGTCTCTTACTATATATACAACTTCACCAGACAATATTCCATGTGAAAAAAGCGGATTAGATTCAAGTTTTCAATTTGAATTCGTATGGGAGGGGAAAAAATCGGAGCAGTTTCTGAAAATACAAGAAAACAGACCATGGATTGCTCATGGCTCGAGGAAATTCCAAATGCCTAGAAACAAATACTATCCTCGAAGCCTTGGAGCAACGCGGCAAGCAACACGAATAGATTTTGCAGAAGACAAAACTTTGGATTAAAAAGACACTAAACTACACTGCAATCCATATTCTGATGGTTGATACAAAGTTGCGAACTTCGTTTATTTCACCAAACCTGTCTCGAAAATGTCATTATTCATCACTATAAATAGAAAGCTTTCGTGGGCTTTAAATCAAGCTACACTAAATCAAATTAAAAGCGCAGATTTCAGAACCCGAATCAACAATAATGGGGGAGAAGGAAGGAGGAGTTGTCAAGAAGGGTCATGAAGAGGGGCTGAAAATGGCCGTTTCACTTCTTGAAGAGTTTGAACTTCCATTGGGACTTCTCCCAATTGCTGATGTGATTGAAGTAGGTTTTGTGAGGAGCAGCGGGTACATGTGGATAGCGCAGAAGAAAAAGGTTGAGCACAACTTCAAGATGATCAGCAAGTTGGTGAGCTATGGCACTGAGATCACCGGTTACATTCAGAAGAAGAAGATCAAGAAGCTCAAGGGAGTGAAGGCTAAGGAGTTCATGCTATGGCCTCCAGTCGGTGAGATAACTACTGATGATCCGCCCACAGGAAAGATTCATTTCAAGAGCCTTGCTGGGATCACAAAGACTTTCCCTGTCGAGGCATTTGCTGCAGGCCAGTGAGCAAAAAGGCCTACTAAAATCATGCATGATCTATGAGTTACTGCACTTTTCCCTACTTGCTGTTTTTTTGCAGCATTGTCTTTTTGTTGTAGCGTGTAATTCTTCAGGAATTAACAGCAGAATGCAGTAGAGAATAAATGTTTCATGCACAATTAAACTCTTAAAAGATGATCTGCTGATCATGGATTACACAAGAAAATCTGTTGGGTTTTTGAAGAGTTGAATTATCCATTTACCTGGGAGTTTAGACCAACATAGCAACCTAAAAGAATACAGCATGATTGAAATGCAGGAAGAGATTTTTTTGCATACTCGTGCGAGACCGATTGTCCAAAAGCTCACCTAAATGCATAGGCACCTTCCTTGGAGGGTGTTCGCGATTGGATCGAAGGAAACAGTTTCATAATTATGTTGCACAAGAACAGGCGCCCAAATGCATAGACGCTTTTCTTAATTGGTGCTGTCTCAAAAACAAACAAGGATTTGAAAAAAAAAATCAACTCCATCGACTGATGACCTTTGTTAATACTTCCTATACGTTACGTGTTTGGAAAGGACATTAGCTGAAATATTAGTTGAAATAATTACTATATCATATTTTGCGATGTTATATATATGATATTATATATATGAGATAAAAAGATGATTGAAAAAATAAAAAATTTGTGTTGAAAAATATATTTATGATGCAAGCTAATAATTTTTGACCAAATAAATGCTATCCAAACACAATTTAAAAGTGCATAATCTTAATCTCTTTACAATTTAACCCTCCGTCATGAATGAAGAACACACTTTCTAAAAGAATACCCATCAAGTTTCTTATGCGATGAATGCTTTTTCTCTTCTTCCCTCCAATTCCACTACATATCAAACAACCAAAGTTATCGCTCGTGCTTCTGTTTAAAGGCGTGCTTTGCAACCTGCTGCTCTCCCCTTCCCCAATGCGCCAAAGCTTGAGCTTCTAATGGCAGTTTCTGAGGTCAGCCACATCTAAATTGATTGAGGCAAATTATCCCCTCCTGTAAAAACAGTCCTCTTTGACAAGATAAATTCAAACAAAGAAAGTATAGATCGCTGTGATGATCATCATCTTCATTGTCAACACCTAAAATGCTCTCAGTGGCACAACTCCTTTCAAATCTGCTGCTTTTAAGGATCTAATGCATTGCTGGGAGCGGTGAAACTTCACCTGAAATGTAACTCGTTCAGAAAAACTCACAAAAATTCCACATATACAAAATTTGATGTTTAAATTCAAATTCAGATGATGTGAGATTCATCTAACCCTGTTAGTGTATACATTGACAGTGTAGGAAAGATTAATCCTTAATAAAATAGATGAAAATTTTCAACTTCAATGTCTTGTCAACACTAAGCTCCACTTTATATAAGCAATAGTTGCATAGGGGTGACAGATACACAAGTTTTAGGTTTACAAGCTGTTTTAATAATTGACTATTCGAGAAACATATTTCTTCATAAAGCATACTTGTATAACATCCACTTTACGCTTGAGATTGTTGATAAACCCCAGATGGTACTTGCATTTGGAGTTTCAAGAGTAGTGCAGTTCTGGTAGAAGGTTTTGCCGAAGCACATGATTGGCTTACAGGGAACCTGGGGTAAGAAAAGCAATGCTAAAGAAAGTTCGGATGATTCTACGAAGTTACTCACCTTGATGCTGCCACAGTATGTCTTTTTCATGTCATCGATCACTATAAATTGAAACCTTACAAAGCTCAACTTGACTCATTTGCTGGTATAGAACTTCAGAACTCAGGTAAGCGCCATGAAGGATCAAGTCTGAAGAAGGATCACAAAGAGGGGATGAGACGGCCATTTCACTTCTCAATAGTTTTTAACTCCATTAGACTCCTCCCCCTTTGCTGATGTGAGTGAAGTTGGCCTTGTAAGGAGCACTGGCTACATCAGGATACTTCAGAAAAAGATGATTGAGCACAGCTTCAAGATGATCTGCAAGCTTGTTAGTTATTACACTGATATCACTGACTACATTGACAAGAAGAGGATCAAAAAGCTTGAGTGAAGGATAATGTACTCATCCAATGGCAAACTCTAACTAAGATAATTGCAGATGATGCATCCCACTGAAAAGAATCGCTTCAAAAGCCTTGCTAGAGTAACAGAAACCATCCAGTGTTGAGGCATTCGCTACTGACAAGTAAAGAAAAAGTCTATTCCAGTTATCCACATTCCAATTGTTCATGGATCAGCTAGTTTTGCTCACATATTCATCTCAACCCTCAGTTCCATCTGGTTCTTGATCAAATGGAATAAGTTATAAGATAATTACAATGTGACTAAGAAAAAACTGTCTCTGAGCATTAGTAGAAAAGAAACAGTAATACATAGATCTTGTTACAGCTCTTTTGGCTGTGAAAGAAACGTACTCCACTGCCGTACCTGTCCCTGAACACCGAAACAAGCAAACAGACAGAAAGGCTGTTGAGCACAGCTATTTCAGAAATTACCATTGTAGAGGACGCACAACTTCCAGCAACCTAAAAGTCAATATTGAGCATTACCTTCTAAAGTGCTAGAAAGCATGTATGTCTTCAAATTTGAAAAATCCTTGAATATAACAATGGCAGTGGCCAGAAAGCTTGTTCTACATCCCGACATTGACTGTAACCCCAATTTGCAGGTGTATTATAACTATGGTACCATCTTGTTCATGCCTTTTTATCTTTAGCCATCAGCCAAAATGCCAAAATGCCCACACAAATGACACTTCAGTGTTGTTCTTACAAACATTGAGCTTAACTAATTAAAGGGTAATACTCAACTTCAACGGAAAACTACATAAATCAAGATGAAAAGGCATTGTTTGAGGCCCTAACTGCAAAAGCATTTTAAATTTAATTCTTATCGATCGATATCAATAAGTCAATAACTCAGTATTAGCATTACAAGCATCGATTCTATTCTGAAGAAAGATTCTGCAGCTAAGAAATGAAGCAGAGATCAGAAAATAGCTAGAAATCCCAGTTATGTAGTTAACACTGATAAGTACCATTGATCACATATCTCAGAAGAACGTGCCCAATTTGTCAATTATGAGTAGCATGAAAAGTGCTGAACATTCTAAATGGACCCTGCTTTCCAAAGATAAGATTCTTATATTTCTTAAACAGAAAATAACTCATATTGGTGCAGTCAGTGAACTATATTCGTACTTTCAAGCATCTGCAACATAACACTTCATACTAATGTATCTGCAAAACTACAGTTCAAAACTCTCCAAATAATTTGGTACAGTAATTAATCCTATTACTCAATTCATTATGCAGCTTTACACATTTTTTATCTTCATCTCCACATAAAAAGTTTAAACACTGAAGTGTCAGCTCTTTATCTTGATTAATTTCATAAAGAGTAACAACTTGCTGGTTTTGTAGCCTCTTGTTGGCTTAAAATTAAAAGTTTATTCTCCTGGACATGAAACAAATTCCTAATTAACAATAGCAAGCAGACAAACTTTTTATTGTGATAAAATAAGAGGTACATGACTAGATAGAACTATTGTACTTCTGTACTAATAATAAAGATAACTAATTCCTCAATCAGGCACTTAGCCCAATAGCAAACAGAGGAGCTTCCTAGAAATATGGTCAGTGAAACATACTGAACAAAAGTCCATAAGTTAGGTTTAAGTCCCAACAACGTAACGTCCCAACCTCTCCCATTTCTCAACCTCTCCCATGCACTCCAGCGAATTCTAAGGATAATGAACCCATACATAGAGAACAAACCAAGATTAATTACATCATTATGTCCCCTTTACGTCCATGGAATGTTAGAGTTACAAAAACAGGCAAAAGGAACAACAGAAACCACTACCAAACAAAATTAAGACTTCTGTATGAGGCTGACATGCATTAAAACCAAACATATTTCAGAAAAATACGCATGGAGTTTAAAAGTTTGAGCGGAAGAAAGAGGTAACCAAGGGGTAAAAAAGACAATACAAATGTAGTGCACAAAATAGACCTTAATGTGATCTCATGAAATACACTAAAGGTGCATTATGCAAACTCAAATTAGCCATTAAACCCATCATTTCCCATGTACATATACAAGACACTCTTTCTTCGTCAACATTAATGATCAGTGCCCAAACTAAAAAGATAGGACAAGTGCCAAAGGTGGCATGACAAAGATATATATATATAACAAATTAGCATACACAACAATACTTAACCAAAAACCTGTTTAGGAAAGACAAAAAAGAAAAGGCCATCTTGCTGAACTGTTCAGGACTTGGAATATCCTAGAACTGTCAAAATGATGCATTGTATTCTGCTTCATTATGAATCTAAAACATTTCATACTTCAGAGATTAAATACATGCAAGTCCAACAAGGCATTGTAATACCCCTTCTCTATCTCCTCCTCTCTCACTTGATGAAGGAGAAGTGTTTCGATAATCAAATCTTCCCAGTCAACATCAACTTGTATTTTCCTTTTATTGCTAGCACTTATACATTGTGCAAGACATAGATCCTTTCCATCACCAAAGCCAGCTTCAGATGGATGCAAAATCCTCTGAATGCGTGATTTAGCAGCATTTATCTTTTCTCTCCTCCTTTGATATGTCAAGTTTCCTCTATCAAAAGACGGAGGGTTTGCATTCAATCCAACATCTTTCTCAATAATTTGCTTCAGCAAAAGTTTCTTGCTCATTTCTGATTTGCCTGTCCACCACTCTCTACAAGTGTAAATGTCATATCCCTTCTCCTGTTTTGTCCAATCTGCCTCTTCTATTTCTGCAGAAGACTTAATCAATGGTAAGTGATCTAAGAAATTTGAATAAATCATGGCCAAGCATTCATGCGAAATCTGGAGATTATTTGTTCCTTCTGTTCTCAAAGTTGGAGAATTCTCCACCTCAAAATACTGCAAGTCCTTTTCCACATCACAAGTATCATACCTGTACCCGATTTCTTTGTTCAAACAGTCAGCGACTAAATCATCCAAATCAAAACCGACATGATCAAAACGATTCTTTCCACCGCACCTTGATGACGACTTCAACTCCATGTACTGAATTACTGAAGAAGCATTCCTGATAATATTCTTGACAGTAACATCTTTCCCCCAAGGTAAGAGTTGTGCAACTTTTACAAGTCTTTCCAACAGCTCCTTATACCTCTTCTTACACGTTCGCACTGCCACATACAACTCCTTTGCAACCTCTTCAATCTTTACGTGAACCTGATTCAACTCTGCAACAAACACCAAAATGGCAGCCACAATGGGCATTGGTCTTCTCCCTGTAGTCAAATACCACTTCATCGAGCACTGCACCAAGAACACCCCTTGCTTCAACATCCTTCCAACAATTTCCTCCTCAACCCCACTAAAGCTCGGACAACTCCTAATTGCACGTTCAAACGAGCTAACAATATCAAACTCAGGCAACTTCAGATCAAGAAAATCCACAACCCGATGCACCATTCTTCCCAACTCACTAATATCACAACCGACCACATTCGCCACTTCAACAACCGGCAAGCTTTTCTTATCCTTCCTCATTACAACATAAGCACAAGCCCCAACAAAAATTGGAAACCATCTCCCCTGACCATATTCACCCTCTGTTATCCTCTCAACCATGGCCTTAACTTCATCATACCGCGAGGCCGCTAATCCTAACTTAAATATCAAATCTTCTATCAGTTTTTGAGCTTGATAAACTTTAGTTTGCTTGTAGCTATACACACTACCGGAGCCCGCCGTGCCTACGCGGACAAAGGTGCCAGCAGGACCAGTAATACCGCCAATGTGGGCTTGAAAATTCTCAAAATCCTGAACAACCCCACATGATGAACACACCAAGTTGCCAGTATCACCATCTACTACGAGGGTTCTCTTGCTGCAATTCTTGCAGGATCCAGAACTCTCCATCTTTCAATCAAATAACTGTAAATTAAATTAGCCTCAAAAAACCCCAATTCTATATTATTTGGTTAATGTCGGAATCTCATTATTAGGGATTTTTAGGGGGCTATGTCTTGATGGTAAGACAAGATGGAATTTTAAAATTTCAAGAATTGGGTATCGCTAGATTCTGGACAAATAGTAAAATACCAAAAATTAAGTTCAAGAAAAGTGAATACGTTTGTGTGCACCTAATTTTCTGCAACTTTTGTCCATGAAGATTACAGCAATCAGCACCAGAAGATTTGAGAAGGCCTGAAATACAGCTGGGGTCTAATTTTAATTTATAAACAGAGATCAGTGGGAGTGGAGAAAAGTCAGAAAACGACTCACCGTCTCTAGGATGATTTGGTTGCCTTTAGCCGGGAGTACTGAAGCTGATGGTACGATGAATGACACATTTAGATGACTCTCCATATATATTCTACGGAAATCCTATATTTGGATGGAAAAAAGGGGTACTTAAAATTCGACTACAACTGAGTGAGGTAAATAGAATAAAGATAAGAATTACTCCCTCCGCCCATTGAAAGTGTCATGCTTTCCTTTTTGGTCTGTCCCAAAATTAATATCACTTGCTATAATTGGCAATAAAACTTTCCCTCATTTCCATCTCATGCCCTTAAATATACCAGATTCCTTTTAAGTTTTTGATGGATCCCATAAAACTACAAGAGTTGCTCTAATATGCGTGAGTCTCACCGCAAATGCAAACAATGGCCGTGCAAGCTACTTTCTAAAAAAAAAAAGGCTGGACACATTTTTAAAGTATGGTCCCACACATCTTGCCATCCCTTCTTTTTCTTTCTGCCACTCAATGGAGTAATGCACGGAAGGGGTAGCGCTGGAACTTAGACCAAAATGTGACACTGTTGAAAAGAAGCTCAAGACCCGAAGTGCGACATTCATTTCGTGACGGAGAGAGTAATATTTTATATACTAACAAAGTATACTGTTATAGTTGGATACATGATAATTCATTTAAATCTAAATTTAAATATTGTCACAGTTGAATGCATAATAATTTATCTAAATTTAAATTTAAATTTCAAATTTTACTCATATGTCATACATTCAACCGTGATAATATATACACCATCAGTATATATAACATTTACTCAAAAGATAAACAGAAAGATGCCCACTTTATAATTGTCCCTATTTTTTCTTTTTCTTCTGCAGATAAAGTTAACCCTAAGTCCCATATCATTTACTTTAGAATTTGGTGTTGATGTTCACTTAATGTATCAATGTTGTGTTTGGATTCTTGAAACAATACACCAATTCTAAAGAAACAAAAAAGAAAAATTAAAAAGATACAATAAAGCCTGTTTACGGTTGATAGAGTTGATTGAAATTTACTTCATCTAAAGTTTTTAATAAAAACGCTTATTAAATATTTAAGTACTTTTTAAGTATATTGTTTGGGTACATATTTCAATTAGTTAAATGAGTACTTATTGTATTAGATAATGTGTAATTTAAAATTTTTTAAATGTATTTATCTCATTATTCATTTCATAATATAGGATAATTAAAACACTTATAAGTGTTTTTAAGTACATTGTTTGGATACGTATTTCAATTAGTTAAATAAGTACTTATTGTATAAGATAGCGTGTAATTTAAAATTTTTTTAATGTATTTATCTCGTTATTTAATTCGTAATATAGGATAAAATAATTATATTTAATATTTATTTTTTAAAATAGAAAAGCTATTCTAAAAATACCAAGTTTGAGTTTTTGTTAGAAGTGCTTGTAACACCAAAAATTCCACTCCAATTTGGTACGACGATGTTTATCAAACGCTTCAAAAGTGTTTTAAACACTCAAAAGTGCATTTTTATCAAAATCATCGCAATCCAATCCCAGACGGTCCCTAAATAGTGTAGAATGTACCGGTGCAGAGGCAGGTGTTGGCGATGGATGGTGGGAGGGAAAAGAGGTTGTTTTAGAAGATGACGGGTGTTTTTTGGTATTTTAGACAAACAACCATATTTATGAAAATTCCGACTCATTGGTGCACATAGAAATTAGAAATCAAGGATCTTTCATGATATTTTCACCTAAATATCACTTCTCGTGACAACCTTCAGGTCTTCAATTTGCCCTCCAAATTCTTTAGCAGAATCCTCTGCAGATTTGCTACAGTAGTGCACCTCAAGTAGTGAGAGGGTAGGAAGTTCCCCAATACCGTAAGGGATCTCCTCTAAGGATTTGCAAGACCTCAGAAGCAGGTGTTCAAGGCATGGAAAATGATCAGTGCTTGTGGCCTCCCAGTGTACTAGATCTGTACTTTCTATTAGCAACGACTTTAGACAACCAAATGCCCCTTCATTTAGTTCCCATCTTGGTCCTTGAAAGGCAAAGTTTTTCAGTTTGAGTACTGTAAGGTGGCCTAAATTGGCAAAACTGGCCATATCCCCCCATGGAAGATAGCTCCAACTCAAAGTCAGTTTTTTGAGCTTGTAGGGTAAAGAAAACCGACATAAATCCCGCGTTTTACTTGTTTCTCTGAAAAATGAACACTTGAGAGTATCCAGTTTACACAACAAGTGCAGATTGGCTAGGCATTCAGATGAAACACCTGTAATGTAGTCCTTTTCTGTTTCACAGATGCCTAGCTTCTTCAGTTGGGGCATGCTGTTGAAAACCTCCCGCGTGCAAGAAGAGAAGCTTATCGTGGAGAGACTAAGCAGATATTCTGGGGCAAACAGTCGATCAAAGCTCTTCCTACCAATTGTGGGTTTCTTCAAGTGACTAACTACACTACAGTGAAAATGCCTCAAGGATGGCATACTCCAATATTCCAAAGACAGAATGGGGCTTTCCCATGGGCCACGAATGAGTATGGTTTGGAGATTTCTAAGCTGGGACATTGACGGTGGAAGCTCATAAGTAACATTAAATGCGATATACCTCAAATGAACCATTTCCAGTACTTGGATGGGGAAATGATCAAAATGAAGAAAGTATATGTCTAATACTCTCAGCAATTTAAGCTGTAATTCCAACAATAGGAGATCTGGCGAAAAGCCATAACCCAAACTAAAGCACATAAATGATATGGCATGTCTAAATGATGGCACCGAGTAATCAGTGATAGAGTCAAAGTGGATACTGAGCCGATACATATCCCGTATGCCTGTTCGAAAACCTTGGGCACCTCTTGGTGTGACATACATGAACTTCTCTTTCTCAGCTTCTCTCACGCATAGTTCCCGCAAGAAATCATGGAGGCGACATGTTTTGACTTTCCCATCAAAATTTCTCTTTCCCACCGAAACCAAGTTTCTGCCAATTAGGTCGTCTAAATAATCCTCTGCAACCTGTTCCATGTCTGCTATGGGTTCTGGATCCAAGAAACCTTCAGCAACCCAAAGATGAACGAGTTTCTGAACTTCAATATCACAGTCTTCAGGGAAAGCCCCCAAGTACAACCAACAGGCTTTCAGGCGATTGGGCAACTTCTTGTAACTCAAAGCAAGTATGTCCAGGCAATTTGTAGGATCATTGCGCATAAATGACCTTACGCTATCCGCAATGTCTTGCCAGCAGTCTAGTCTTCTCATAGTTCGCAAGAGAAGACCAGCAACAACAACAATCGCCAGGGGTAGTCCCTGACATTTATCAGCGATTTGCTTTCCGACATCCACCAAGTCATGTGGGCAACTTTTTCTTCCAAATACCACCTTTTCCAGCAATTCCCAACTGTGATCTCTATCCAGAAGTCTCATGAAATGGTAAGGTTTCTCCTCGGGTTTCAACTCAGTAATAATGGACCGACTAGTCAATATTATACGACTTCCTTTTCTGTCATCTGGAAGATATCCCTGGACAGCATTCCAGGCCTTGATACTCCACAAATCGTCCATGACAATCAAATATGTTCTACCCTTCAGTTTTCTATAAAGCTCTTCACCTATATCTTCTTTACTCTTTTCATGCTTTTCATAAGTGGGTTCTGAAACTGAGCACAAGAGGCTGAAGAGCAAATCTTTAACTTCATAAACTTGGGATGCAGTGACCCATGCACGACAATGAAAGTGCAAAACAATTGAACAATGACCAAAAACTTTTCTAGCAAGAGTGGTTTTGCCAATGCCGCCCATACCCACAATTGTCAGAATTTCTAGTTGAAATGGTGGTGGTCTAGTAAGCTTTTCTGTGATTCTCCTCGTATCGTCATCAAGACCCACCACAGCATCCTCCTGATTTGTACTGCCTTGGGCTTGATGTGAACCATCAAGTGAAGCAGACCCCAATTGCAAATCTTCAACAGTAAGCTCCTCAGAATTGATTTCTTTGATGTTGTTCTTAATAGAACGAACATTTTCTAATGTCTTCTGCAAAAATTTGACAGCATTTGCACCGAAAAGACAGTTGACCCTCTCTTCAAGACCGAAAATCCTGTTGACCCTCTCTTCAAAAGAACTTTTCCCTTCTGGATCTCCTTTCCTAACCCTTAAACAGTATGTCAAGGCAGGCTCAACTTGATTTTTTATTATGCGTAGGTCAAAAATGTCTCTGGCTCTATATGCAACATCTTGGATACTTTTCAATATATCAAGGCATTTATTTGAAGGATTGTCAAGAATGATCAGCAAGGACTGAAGCTCCTTGCACAAATTTGTTGTGTCCCTGGTCACTTTGTAAAAATAAACTATTTTCTTTTTGAGTTGGTTCCTTCCCAGACGCTGTTCTCCTACCAGCGTACGAACAAGTTGCCAAAGAAAGTAGTTTCTTGCATCTCCCCTGATGATGTGAGGACCGGTTACACCAAAAAATACATTCAAGCCTGCCTGAAATGAATCAATCTCTTCCAAAATGTTTTTCTTTTGTTCCTCCATTTCCAGCATTTCCACTGACAGAACTCGCCCTTCTCTTCTTGGCAGCTGGTATTGCGACAGAAGCCATCCACTATCATACTGATACCGAATAGCCCGTTTCCCTTTCGGCGAATCCAATATATCAATAGCTTGCTCCAGATGATATTCCGACTCGTTTGATGTTGCTTCCAAAAGCTTTATGACTTCAGCAACTCTTTTATTGTAAACTTCGGCACGCTTTATCTTGATTTGGAAAACCAAATGTGAAAATTTCAACACGTACTCTAGCGTTTGGACAAGAGAAGCCACAGCAGCATAAGCCATCTATCTCTCCCACAATATAGGTCTGCAGTTCTCACACAAGCTGCAGGTCAAGAAATTTTTTGATTTGGCATATCAAGATGACAAATCAATTATCATCAAACAGCAGTAAAACAATACTTCTTCAATAAAATGAAAAAAAAAAAAAAAGAACTCCATCCATCAAGAATCAAATATCTTCCTTACATTTTTAATCTGCCCCAAATTAAATGTCTTCCTCACATTTTTTTAGCCCGTCCCAGAATACATGTTTCATACAGATTTCTCAAACTATTGCTTCCAACATTTGCAATTTGTGCTAGGCAGATACCGAGTAAGAAATTCAATTTGGGATGAACTGAGCAGCAAGCATAATCTGTTATCCCCAAAAGAAGACGGATTAAGTACCAAATAGCATTAAAAAAAAAAAAAAGGCATCAGCATCATGAGACAAAATAGAGCGTAAAATACAGAATGTCAATAAAACCGATCAAACAGTTGAATAACAGAATTAAATTGCAAAATGTAGAATTTTAGCTAGATTGCGAAATACAGAATTTAGTGAGACAAGTGGGCATAAACCAGAAAATTGAAGGAAGACCACACGGATGCACTAAAAAATGAAAGTGGAAAGCTACATGGCGATCAGAAGGGGATTCTTACTGATATTGATCGCAATCACAAGCGAAAAGTGCCAGCGAGGGTGGTTTCACTGGTAACTAACTGATCAACACTATCTTGAATGATTTCCTGCTTTCTAATTCTGCACAAGATTCCTTTTTGAGTGAGAAGAATTTAGGCCTAGTTTGGGAGAGAGAAAAAGAGAATCAGAAAGCGTGATTTTTAATTGGGAGAGGAAGAAACAAAAAGAGGAAAGGATTAATTGATGGGGATGTAGCAGTAGCATCAAGTATCACGCTTGACTGACTTGGTCAAACGCGGCCTCATATCAAGGAATTCTTTCAGCTCTGCGTGAAAAGAACTCATCTCTTCCAATATCTTTTCCTTTTCTTCCTTCATATTTGATGCTCTACCAATACAAGATCCCACTTGGAGTGACTCTAGATGAAAAGGATTCCCTCTTCTTAATGGCTGATATTGTAACAGAAGCCATTCAGGATCGTACTTGACAGTTCTAATATAATGTATGATCCCACTCGTTTTCTCCTAGTTCCAAAAGCTGTATGACTTCATCCACATTTTTATTGAAACCTTTGGCCTAAATTATTTTACTTTCGAAAAGAATACAGGGGAATTTCTCCAGATGTACAAGGGTTTGAATTAGAGAGGTCACTTCAGCATAAGCCGTCGTTTTCTTCCTCCCTATCCCTCACATTAAGAAATTTTCAGAATTTCCTCAAATTAGGTATGATCCAATACCAACCAAAATAGATATCACGATTACATAAAGTTCTCAACTTTTGGCATCAGCAGAAGGATTTTATTGATCAGATTGCAAAGTTCAGTAATTGGTTAGAGTGCTAGGTAATTACAGAAAATTGAAAGAGAAGCTTGAATAAGATAAAATGCAAAAAGAACAAAGAAATCAGAAGAATCAGTCGCACTGTTCTTGATGGGAATGGCAAGAGAAGCAAGCTGGAGAGGGGACTTCGAAGCCAGGCAACAGAAGAACATGTCAACTGAACTGTGCAGGCTTCAGTGGTGAAATGAAATGCGAGGTGGTTAGACTGAAAGGTCAACGGTGAGACACTATGCAAATCGTAGATAGTCAGCTACAATTATATCCTAAAGTGTTACAATTGTGCACTAACACAAATAGAAACAATTTTAAAAAATAATTGTAAAAGTACCATCTTGCTACATTAGAAAATTGTGTAGCAAGAGTTCTTTCTCTTTTTTAGGCTGACATGATATTATCTTCTTTGCTGATGCCTGTTGCAGAATTCTGTTGACAGTAATGTAGTGAAGAAATGACGACCGTTTTTATCATTTTGTAACAAGGGAGTTATTGCCATGGTAACGTTGTGTATGTGCTCTCCATGGAGTATGCAAGTGCAGTATGCCACTTAATTTTGACCATCTTCCCGGATTGTAATTTGTTGATCTGGTGAGATCGAACATTATCTCCGTAATATAGGAGTACAAACGCACCTGTTCTCGCAACATTGTGTCCTATGAATTTAGAACACGTGAGATTACTAAATTTACGTACAAGGTAGCTCTGTTCTAAACGCTCAGTAAATCAGAAGTTAGTATCAAAAAGCATCTCCACAACATGCTTCTCTCTGAATTTCAGCTAATAGCAGTTCCTTCTTTTGGTATACAAGTAAACTTAGTCGTGTTGACTCCCACCTGCTAGATTACATGACATGCAAAAGTGCGACCAACTTACTGATTTACAAGATTACTAGCGGGCTTCATCAGAAACATTAAACCAGGAGAGAAGTGTATGATGGACTCTCAAGCATGCTAGACTAAAAGCTTGCCAAATAGAGTACCAACCAACTGCTTTATACTCATGACAATATTGCTAAACTAACAAAAATATGCTATAAGATCCTCGATCATAATTGACATTCATCAATCCGATTTTTGTGCAGCTGAAACGCAGGAGTGATCCACTTCCCACAATTGCACTGCATGCCAGCCCAATTGAAGGATCCCAACCGGGTTTTACAACCCATGCACATAATCTTGTCTTCCACACCACCGTCTTGTACTGACAGCAAATATGAGTTGAACGATGTTAGTGCAAGACAAATATCCGATATTGTTGAATAAAAAGCATGAAATCTGCGAATTGACTAACATGATTCCATCCACTTCATGGGCTCTACAAAAATAGATGAGCATTCAGGTGGCTCGTTTTCCACTTGGGTATGACTTCTCTTTTTCCACTTAAAACACTTCTGCCCACCTCCACGTTCATGGGGAACAACCATCTCCTCTGTAGCAACGATTCTTCGACATTTCTTGCAGCGGTACGTGACTTGAGGTTTCAAATCAGATCGCAGATCAGACTGATTAGGTGCTTCCATTGCAGCTATTCATAGCATGTCACCCAAAAGGGAACAAAAAATATATATATATGAACATAGAGCACAACCAGGTATTTTAAATACATGCTCCGATAAAAACTAAAAACGAAAACAGGCAATATTCCAACACATTGAGATCTCACATATCCTCATAACATAAAAATTTCTCAGAACCTCACATAGAGAGGAAATACACGCAATCACCACTTCAGATTTACTAATTTCTGCAACCACATTCTTCGGTACTAATTAGTTAAAAGTAAAAGAGCCAAGAAGATCTCGTTATCCTAATCAAAATAGATACGAATGAAAAAATAACTACTCAAAAAGGGAGTGATTAGGTCCATAGTCACATCCATATATATAGACATACCATTAGCTAATTAGAACATCAAAAAGGAGCCATTAGACCCTCAGAAACAATTCCCTCCACACAAAAACAATAAGGGATTTTACAAGTCAAATCTTTTAAGCAAACACAAAAGAAGCTTAGATGGGCACGAGAACAGAACAGAGCTCTAAATAAACATGGCAGGGCTGCTGTACTATCAGGGCTTTGGAGTCTGTCTGGCGGCGCTCTGTTGATAATGGTAAGAAAGGTGGGTTTTTTAGGATACATCATAAGTTAGTAAAATATTACTAAGACTTTTCTGATAAATCGAAGTACAACGAAGGGGAGTGTGATTTTGTGTGTACCTAATTTTCAGGAATTCGTTCTCGCCACAATCCGCATCAGCTGTGAAGATGAAGATTTGAGAAGGCAGCATGGAGAGGACAGAGAGTTCCTTGCAATATCGATTCCTAGTTTTCGCGTTCATTTCAAGAAACGGGTTACCGGATCCTGGGTCGGTTCGGGTTGCCTATTTGCTGTCCAATCCAAAGAAGAGATCCATAGGAATCCAAACAATGCTACAAAAAAACACTACTGCTTGCCCCAAGATCCTGCAAAATTAGGCCACTTGGTGGCCCATAGACTGTTCTATGGGCCGATAAATTCTTGGTGCCCAACCCCACAAAGTAGTCGTATTGTCAATGCCTCTAATTCCATCCAAGGCCCATCGCATTTTTTTTGTATCAAGCAATTATCTCTTGCAATTTGTGTCAAAGTTCATGCATCTGATAAACGGATTGTTAATGCAAATGGGAGGTCACAATTTTGACTCGCACATTGAAAATCTTGGGTTAGGTTTTCACTTCCGAGTAAGAATCGAACTGAGCGTGCACGCCTCGAGTCGAATCCGGATTAGTCTCACTGAAAGTAGGAATACCGGGTGCTCAAAGAAAAAGAAAATTTTTATGTATCAAGATTTACTTCTTGATGCCTATCTTTATCTTATGTATCATGCAACTGTAGGAACCTACCTTGTACGCGGATGGTTTTAGCATAAAAACTTTGTTGAGTGGTTCATGAAATTTTCTATTTTTCTGTCAATTCCAGTCTGATTAATCAAAGTTAAACTAAAGAACATTAGATAATTGGAGTATGGTCAAAGTATCTTTCTTCATCGACTTGAAAACTTCATTCGAAAGGACAAGGAACAAATAACATTTTCTCAATTAGTTGGGACGTTTTCATCGAGCAGCTAGCTTCTTGGTCATTGCAAGGGCAAAGAAGTAGAGGTAGTGATGTAGACCTTCCGACCTTGGGATCCCTAGAGAAGGCAATTAGAATATCTTATGGACATGTCAATAAGTAATGTTTCAATTAAAGCTGCTTTTCTTTTCTTGGTTTTTTCTTTGAGAAAGATTCAAGCTAGCTTGCTACCAATAACAAGAACCTATAAGTTTGATTGACTTTCATTTTCTTATTTTAAATCAGCTGGGGAGTGTAATTTTCTTTGGCTTAATTGGCAACCATGGTCATGTAAGAAGACAAATTGTGCTTCGTTACTTAGATACTTCTGCTGATATAGGCTTGCAAAATGTCTACAGCCAGATAGAATGGTTGAAAATTTGTCCTTAAGGTGGTTAATTGAGTGAGATCAACAATGAGAAAATGTCAACTTCGAGTTACCATTCTTCTTTGCAAATATATATTGTTACAATGCCATAGATGTAACAGGATGAGGTAATAGTTTTATGCGACTACGTCCAGTTATTGTACTTCTTATAATATTTGATAAACACAAAAAAAAAAATCACGCTTTTAATGTAAAAGAATTGCAAAATTTAGGCGCACAAAAAGAACATATATTTATACAAATACAACAACACCACCAGGGCGATTCCAGATGTGACGTTTCTGTTGAATTTTTGCCAAATAAACATGGCATTTAAAAAAATTTTGTGCGTTTTCTCTTGTAGGTTGTGATAACAACCGCTGTCGGTTTGCTCCTTCAAGGCAAGCCTTTCGCAATCAAATGACGATATAACAAACAATAAAGAGTGTTTGACCAGATTTCCAAACCCCTAAAAGTAAATCGAACAAGAGATAACTAGAAGATTGAATTCCAAACAAGAAATACATGATTTTAGAAAGAAAAAAGTAAAAAAAGAAAGAAAGAAAAAGTCAATGAATAGAATATGTATCCTCATACTCAAAATTTTCAGAGGAAATGGTTATGATGCCACATAAGATGTATCGATCAATAATTAAAAGCTATGTGTTAGTCAACCATAGTTTAATCCAACAATTCTACATGATGACCCTCTATTGTATACGTCTGTTACTTTGAAGAAGTTGCAATGGACTAGAATATTTAGGTTTTATCTGTTATTATTGGTGAATAAAATGATGAGATACAGAATCTCTTTGCATCTTTCCCAACAAAAATTAGCCAACTGCACATAGAAGTTGAAGAACAAGATACCGAAAGGCACTCAGCACCCACATAGCAAATTGAAGTGTGCCAAAAAAAAATGTAGGCACACCACACTGTTTCTAGCAATTTTGATGAAATTGTTATAAGTTGGGCGAGGAATGAGTTGAGTGGTAGAGGAGGAGGGAATGTAAGTGAGAGTTTCCGGATTCAAGACCTTCCGCTTACATTAAAACAATAAATAAATAAATAAAAATTATCATTTCTGTGAGCTTAGAACACCAAACATTTGATTTGTTTTAGTAATTTCCCTGATGAAAGTTTTCCAAGATGTTTTATGGATTCTTTTTGATTTGTATGTGGCATTTTTCTTGGTAAGTACAAGCATGCATCCGGAATATATGCAAATGCCTACACAAGTAATATCATTGGATAATTATGTGCTTAGTTTGTAGAACTTATAACTTGTTTTAGTTTGCTTCTTTATCCTTTTCCTCAGATCATTCACTAGAAGGGTTGGTTCAAATTGCTTTAAAAGAAATAAGAAAAGAAAAAGAAAACAAAAGATGCATGGAGGGTTTTTCACACAGTGCCTTTCCAAGGAGATTAATATTTTACTCATTTATGTTTTCAAGGCTGAGATATTCAGTTGTTTATGATGTAATGGAGCTATAATGCTCTTTATATAAGTCTACTCGTTTTTTTCACAGAAAATCTTTGAAATTTGATCAAAGGGAAAAAGAATTATTTATCAACATTTTCGCTTTTAAAGTAGAAAAGAAGTATTTACCAACATTTTTCTAACACCTACACCAAAAGCAGAAATGTTTATTCATGCTGCAATACACCTCCAAAATTTGCATTTACCAAGTCAGTGGTGAAATCTGATTAATGATATTCCATCTCTAAAATAAGGTCCCATTAGAAAAGTTCACCAAATATGTTGTTATAGCCTTCATTTTTAACGTAAAGTAATAGAATAATCATTTTTGAGATCAGGTCTATCCAAATTTTTGCCTTCATTTTAATGTAAAGTAGTAGAATAATCATATGCAAAAGGTCCACACTTGACTAGGTTGATAACATTTTGTTTATTTGTTATAGCAGTTGGTACGGCATTGTTTAAGATTCAGGATTTTTAAAGAATAATGCAATTAGAAAATTTTTTGAAAAAAAAGGACAAAATCAAAGGTATAAACCAGAAAAGATCATGATTCACGAGGTGCGTAATTGATTCCTCTTACTCAAATGATTAATTAGTACCTCAATTAATGTTTGACCTTTAAGCTCAATCAAAGAGCAGAAGAACAAGGAATGTATAAATAAAAGAATTAATCTTATATACACTGTTAGTATACACGTGTCATCTATCCAATCAATTGCAATAGTGTATACACTAATAGTGTACATAAAATTTACTCTAAATAAAATACAAAGTAATAATCATATATACAAGCTACTTTTTTATTGAGCAGACAAATTATTGTACTAAATCAAGGTCAAGAAAAATGGTTCTTGCACAAACATAACAATAATTACAGGTGGTAAACTCGGCCAACATCAAGATACTATATTAGGGTTCAACTCTTATAGCTATTTGTTGTAGTATTCTGTAATTTTTATTCCTTTTTTTTTCTTGTAATCTATTCCTTCCTCTGCAAAAGATTGAATTTGTAACTTGAGACAAAACAAATTTTGGACTCTTATTACAACCTACGGATCCTTCAAAGTTTCAAGAGGTTAATCCTCTTCTGCTCTTTCCAAAATCAGCTTCCTCAGAGCTTTGCAACGGTGTCTAATAAAATACAATAGGGAAGTTGCATTGCATCTTGGTCCTTTGCTATTTAGTTTCATCTCAATTTGATATCTCCAAGACTTGTTTGGTAATTGGTTCTTCAATAATTGATTTGCAGGTTCTAAGGGATTACTTTCTCAAGCATATGCATGATACTAGTCGTTAATGCCGGGCACAAAAACAAGAATTGCGAGGGCACGACTGAAAAAATGATCAAAGTCAGAGGGATGAAAATGTAGTTTGGGCCACCACGAGGTCATAAAAGAAAAAAGAAATAAATATATCACTCGTCTTCTTAATTTCCCTTCATGTCAATCTCATAAAAAATCACAATCCTTGTATCAAAAATTTGCGCCTAAACAAAATCGGGGTCATGGCGTCATGGTAGTTGAAGTGGTTGATAAGTTGAAAATCAATGTCGAATAATTCTTTAATGCCCATATTAGAGTTGAAAACATTTTAAATTACCTGATTGCGTAGCTAATTAATCCATCATTAGTGACTTTGGCACACCGATATGTGTGATTATTATCGAAGACATATTTGTTTTCCTATTTTGTTGTTTAAAGAAAGTTAATATATTTTTAACAAATGGATGACACCAAAAGATGACTCTTCCTATCTACATAGTATGTGTATGTGTGTCTATATATATATATATATATCTTACATATATAAAGAGGGAATCGCTTGTGAACAGTGTCGATGGTCCGGTTATGCTGTGATTTTTGTGAACCTCCAGGGTGTTGTGGTCTTTTGGTGTTGGGTGGGAGCGATTTTGCTGGAAATTCACTATTCTTCATGTTTTGTTCTTGGACAGAAACAAGTTTGCAATTGAGGGGTATTTTGATCTTTGGGCTGATTTTTGGTGGTCTTTTGGTCTTTTGCCTATCCCACCACTGATCGCAGCCACACGAATAGAGGCCCTGTTTGGAACCCAAGTTTTTTGGCAAGTTTGTTTGCTACTAATTTTTTAACAACTTTAACTACAGGAACCCAAAAAAACTTATCAAATTTTTTAATCTACACACTTCAAAATATCTAATACACAAAAAACTTCCTCTTTTCTTCTTCTTTCTCCCCCACCCCGATCCACCACACCTTCATCGCCGGTCACCACCTCCGCCGCCGCTTCCAGCTCAGACCTTCCTTTTTTTTTTCCTTCCTTTCTCCCTCTCTCTCTCCCCTTCCCACTCTCCTTCTCTTCCCACTCTCCCTTCCTGGCCACCCACCCCCTTCCCCTAGCTACGATCTGGT